CCCACCCCCCCTTATCACCTGAATCTCCTCTAGAGCACCATTGAGTTCTTTGTAACCAAATATCTCGTGGGGAGTAGCACCTTATTTTAATTTAAAGCTACAGACCCAGAATCCGCACTTTTGAACCAGGGCTGAAACAGAGAGGTTTATGGGATGCTACAATGCATGATCTGTCTGCCTAATCCAAACACTTCAGAGACATGTTTTGTATATAACTGAGAACTATAATATATTGATGGAAAAGAGTATAATAGGGGGCCTTTCATTTGTTTCTTGTTTTCCAGGGGAATGGCGCTCCCATCGACCAACAAGGCCTTGATAACTTGGCCTATGAATACGGGAGTCAGAGTGAGCTCTACCAACCGCCCCAAACTGCCTCCAGAGCCACTCTTAAACTCCAGGGACTTTCCCCGGAGAGCCAGACCCAGACCATCGAGAGCAGGATCTGCAGCCTGGATGGAGTTCTTGCTGCCAGCTTGTCTTTAAACAGCAGCTTAGCCAAAGTGGACTATGATGCCTCCGTTATCACAACCAAAGAGATGGCTCTGGAGCTGCAGAGCATGGGATTGAGTGCTGAGTCAGCGGTGCACATTAGGGTGGAGGGGATGCACTGCCAGTCCTGTGTCCAGTCCATCGAGGGACGGATTGGTCCTCTACCTGGGGTCGGACACATCCAGGTGTCCCTTCAGGACGCCACAGCGTTGATTGTGCATCAACCTATTGTAGTTACACAAGCACAGCTGAGAGACTGCATTGAGGAGATGGGATTTGGTGCCTCTTTAATATCCCATGATGCATCTGGATATGATACTGGCTGCTGGCAGAGAGACACGCTGACTGTAGACATCTGGATTGTAGGGATGACTTGCAGCTCATGCGTGCAATCCATAGAAGGGATGATCTCTGGGGTGACGGGGGTGCGCTCCATCGCCGTGTCACTGAAGGAGGAAAAGGGAACGATAACCTTTGACCCCAGCCTGACGGAGCCGGAGCAGCTCAGGGCCGCTATCGAGGACATGGGCTTTGACGCGTCACTTGAAGGTAGGCGAAATGTCGATTTGTATTTACATTTTGTGGGTTAACCCTAAAGGCTGTTAATAAAACTTAATGCTGCCTGATTTGAGTGTGAGTACAGAGGTTTGTGTTCAGATCAGGACCATTACATTGTTATTCACATTTATTTCATAGTTACACGTTTATGCCAATATCTTGAAATTGGCCACTTGAATTGATTCATTGTTTGATTATAAAGAGGAAAAAAGGTTTTAAAAAGTCTTCCTTTGTCCAATTTACACAAACCCTGAGATGTTAATGTTACTATTCCAGAAAGAAAGAAAAAAATATATATATTTTTAATGTTAAATAAATTGCTTTTTAAAAAAACAATACTGAGTCACATTGTTTTTTTTGTTGAAAATGTAAACTTTTTGAAACAAATAATAATAACAATAGTTGAAGTATAAGATAACATCTAAGTAAAACTAAAAACTGATTTATTTATACACAAAAGCCTTTTCTCTTTAATTACTAGAAACAAACAATAGATTTCTTGTGTAACCCAGTCTTTAAGGAATAGTTGGAAATGGTTTTGGAAAGAGTTTTATTTCCTTTCATGCAAGGGTGAGATGAGGAGATGTTTCTATCATTACCAAATATAATCCAGTATCAGTTTCGGATCTCATTTATGTTTATCTGAAAGAGAGTTGTTTTTTGAAACTCAGGTCACATTGAACTCAGCTCAGAAAAGCTCCATAAAAGCACTCTTGTTCTTGTGTTCTTGTCATTGAAGCTATTTAATCCAACCAGACCACGACGTCTTGTGCATGATCATTTCTTTATTCATAACCTCTGATAACCTCTTCATTAAACCTGTCAGTGTAAAGCTTCTGAAAGAAAAGCTATCAGTAGCATCTGTATGTGTGTGTCAATATATTCCAGTACACCTTACCTCAGTTTCCCACTGATTACCGTGGAAACCAGACAAGTATGCTCTTGAGTTCTGACATGGAGGGCTCTTACACCGGCCGGGGCTTTCTTGTTGGATTTAATCAAAAAGCTTGCCAAGACGGGGAATTAACTCAGGCTGATTACGAGCAGATTCTTTAATGTTCCTTTCTCATTTCCCGTCAAGGTCGAGTTGGGTTACACGCTTTAGCTCAAAATCAGTGATAGGTGCAAATAACTAAAAGATAACTAATATAAGTTAACTATTATGTCTTGGTTGGTAATCCTTATTTAGAATAACAAGTTTTCTTACATTTTTCTAACATTGAAAAGTACTTTTATTTAACAATTTTACTGTTAAATCTGAAACTGGAAGCAACTACATCTGTCGAATGAATGAAGTGAAGGAAAAAGCGCAATGCATCGAATATATGGGTGTAGAAATATAGAGAATCAAAAACATGGAAATAATCCTGCAATTTGTTAAAGGTCCCCCATTATCCAAAATACACTTCTTCATGTCTTTTATACAACATGTGTCCCCTCTGTGTTAAGTGACTCTGAAAGTTTCAGGAACAAAGAACTCTTTTTGTCCTGATCCATTTATAAAAAACCTGTCTGAAAATCAGCTGATCAGATTTTGGCAACTTTGTGATGTCAAAATGTTTTTTGGGTTGTGTAACCATTACGGCCCGTCCACACTACAGCTTCAAAAAAAGCTTGTCGGCGGGCGTGTCTGAAGCTCGTCCAACAATCAATCACATGAATCTCCCGCCCCTGACACACAAGCAGCGGTTTGATTGGCTGGAGCTTGTACTCGCATATGATTCGATTGGCTGACGCTTCTGCCGAGGCGTCAAAAGTTGAACATTGCTCAACTTTTGCAGTGAAACGCCAGGAAAGCTCCGCTCTGCTACCCACAATTCACTTCGGCGAAAAGCGAGGCAACGTGACGTCACCCCATTCAAAGTGAATGGGCAGACGCGTTGGAAACCGTTTTTGAAGCTGTCGAAGCTGTAGTGTGGACGGGCCGTTAGCCAATAACCAACCAAGGTAACCCCCCCCCCCCACCTTATCACCTGAATCTCCTCCTAGAGCACCATGTTTGTTTTTAACCAATCACTTCTCAGAGAGGCGTGGCCAACAGCAGCTCATTAGTATTTAAAGCTACAGACACAGAATCAGCACTTTTGGAACAGGGCTGAAACAGAGGGGATTATGGGATGCTACAAGGATCTGTTTAGTGTTTCAGACACTTCAGATACATGTTTGTATATATCTGAGACCTGTAATATATTGTTGAGAAAGAGTATAATAGGAGGTCTTTAAGGATACTGAACCACTAAACGGTAAATATCTGTCTATCTACCCTCAAACATATTTCTGCCTCTGATTTTGTTCCTTTCCTGCAGACCCTGCTTCTGCAAAGAGCATCCAGGGTCAGGAAAAGTCCAGGCCAGTTTTCTTTGGACTTTCTCACCTCTCGGACTTAAAAACAACCAATAAGGCTGGAGTCAGCAATGGCGCCGGATCACAGATGGCCCCCAGAAGCGAGATTAAAGTGCAAAAATGCTTCATCTGCGTAATTGGAATGACCTGTGCTTCCTGTGTGGCCAACATTGAGAGGAACCTGCTCAAACAAAAGGGTAAAGACATGAAAGGTGATAAACAACATGCTTTTTGATGTATCTAATGTAATGCTTGACTTGTAGGAATCGTCACGGTGTTGGTGTCACTAATGGCTGGGAAGGCGGAGGTGAAATATGATTCAGAAATCATGAACGCTGCTGCTGTAACTCAGCTCATAGAAGACTTAGGATTTGGTGCCAAGCTGATAGAGGACAATGCAGTAACACACGGGAAACTGGACCTCACTGTGAGTCAACTGAGGAGAGTATCATACAACATCTTCCTGAAATATCACAAGAAAGTCACGTATTTCAATATTTTTTGACTCATAGATAACAGGAATGACATGTGCATCATGTGTGCACAACATTGAGTCCAAGCTCACCTCAACCAAAGGGATCCTCGGGGCCTCCGTGGCCCTCGCAACCAAAAAAGCTCAGATCCAGTTTGACCCGGAAGTGCTCGGAGCCCGAGATATTATCAAGATCATTCAGGTAATTATCTCTTTCAATGTTTAACCTCCTCTCATGTAAATGTATGATGTAACAGATTATATTTCTTATTCCAGAGTCTCGGTTTCGAGGCCAGTCTGGTGAAAGCAGGTTACAAAAACAACCTCGATCACACGGAAGAAATTCGACAGCAAGTATCTGGTTTGAAGTCATTGTCATAACAAGTTGAAATTGCCCAAACCTCTATTAGATGATAAAACTGTCTAACACCTGAACACCAAATCAGTTGCTTAGGAACAGCTAAACACTTTCCCAATTGTCTCCACTCCAAAAATAAATGCACTGTTAGCAAGGTATTTTAGTGGCACCTTGTGTACAAACATATACTGTACATATATACCAATACCAATCAATGCATCAGATAACTTGGAAAGCGTCATGTGAGATGTAATGTAATAACTTGACCATGTAACAAACAGTTTATTTTTGTTAATCCCTCAATTCCCATCACATTATTTAACATATTTCAGGTTGGCAAATCATTTTGATTAGGAAATGGGTTCTTAACCTTTTGTAGCTCAAAGTCCACCCTCTCTCTTTTCCTCCATACCCAAATCTCTAAAAACGGGAGTAAGACAGCTGATCCAGATTTGCTGCCGATGTGACGTAATATCGGAAATGTGGACCCACGACCCTATCTGAAAAGTATCTGAAATGTGCAACGTTTTGCAAGTAATATGGTCTTTGTTTACATTAGAAGGCAACGCCAACACTCAGAGCTAACGCTGTGCTGGAGAGAATATGTGTAAAAAAGCAGGAAATAAAAAGGTAAACCCGCAAGAGAAAAATAATTTGAGCTCCATACTGTTTCAGAAATAATCCTTGATGTGGTTTTGAACATGATATGGCGTTTCATCACGGCACGGAGTATCTGCCGGTAGAAATCTGAGCAGGCCTAACTTTTTTTTTAAAGCTAAGGACCCAGAATCAGCACTTTAGTAACAAGGCTGAAATAGAGGGGTATGAGGCATGGCTTCAATGGGTGACCTGTTTGGCATTTTGAGCAAAACACTTCATAGACATGTTTTTTTATATATCTGAGACCTATAATATATGCCTACAAATAGTTTAATAGGTAAGCTTTAAAAAAAATGGTAAACATGTAAATCAACAGAAATCAGAGCGCAGGGAGCAGATAATACACGAGGAAAAGGATTTCTCTTCTCTCCACAAGTGACTCATTTCTCTGCAGGTGGAAGGGCTCCTTCCTGCTCAGCATGGTGTTCGGCCTGCCTGTGATGGGGCTGATGATCTACATGATGGTGATGGACAGCCAGCACCAGGAGCACGGAGGCTCCATGCCCGAGGAGCAGAACCTGCTGCCTGGCCTCTCCCTGCTTAACCTGGCCTTCTTCCTGCTCTGCACTCCTGTACAGGTTAGGGATCTGTTCAAGAGCTTTGGGTTTTATTCTTAGGTGCTTCTTTTCTGTATTAATGACATTGTGACCTCTCACTAAACAAAGACTACGACACCACTGTTGTGCGATAACACTAATGGGCAATATAGTTCAAATGATTATTATAACTGGCTGCCTTCTTAATCAAGAATGTGTAAGAAATTCTGTGCAATATAATATATGGTAAGATATACTTTATTGATCCCAAATTGGGAAATGTTTTCGTTGCAGCAGTATGTAAAAGATAATACATAATATAAAAGTGTGACATTATTTACATTTAGCTTGCAAGCATGGCATAGTAAATTAAATATAAATGTGAAATGTACAGTGAGAAGTTATAAGTCCAGTTGGGTGTGGGTGGGGCTATCCATGATTGACAACAGTTTGTTTAGTGTCCTCTATAATCCCATATATACTTTTACCTCTAGTATCTAGCTTCCACCACACTACATTCTACATGTTACACTTCATTTATTTTATACATACTGCTGCTGTTCCTACTTTTCTACCATATGTGTACTTTGTAATTCAAATATATTTTAATGTTAATTCGTACATGCATGCCCATTGTCTAAAAGTGTTTTATTTTACGTCTCTATCTCCACTTTTTCTGTAGCAACGTTGAAACATTTGTAAATCTATTTAATGTGTTTTTTCCCCTGCAGATCTTTGGAGGCAGATACTTTTACATCCAGGCGTATCGCTCGTTAAAACACCGCACAGCCAACATGGACGTGCTAATCGTGTTAGCCACCTCCATCGCCTACCTGTACTCCTGTGTGGTGCTCGTTGTCGCCATGGCTGAGCGAGCAGGCCAGAGCCCCGTCACATTCTTCGACACCCCTCCTATGCTGTTTGTCTTCATCGCTCTGGGCCGATGGCTAGAAAACGTTGCAAAAGTAAAAATCATATATATATTTGCTTTTTTTAATTCTCTATTTTCTTTTAGTTTTAACTTAAATGTATTTTTCAAAGGCATACTTCAATGTAAAAGTGTCAGCTAAATGCTATGTAATGTAATGTAAAGGTTTTTTGTCAGTGTAGAATATTGTAATTTAGTATTATATCGTAAAAATATGAAACCAAGAAAATATTCTTAAAAATCTGTCATTTATTGTTGATAAAACTGCTGCGTGTTTAAAGATTTTAAAACTTCAGTATAATTCTGCAACCATTAATACCAGATACAGAAATAGTTTCTAAGAACAAATTTCCCACAAACCCTTGCTGTTTTATCTGACATTTGCTTGACATGTTGTTTCTCCATTTTTAGAGTAAAACCTCAGAGGCTTTGGCCAAATTAATGTCCCTTCAAGCCACTGATGCCACTGTGGTCACTTTGGGACCGGACCACTCCATCATCAGGTGGGATACTTAAGAGGAAATAAATGAAAATGTAGTCTTAATGCATTTGAACTGTAAGTTGGTGTTTATGCCTCAGCGAGGAACAGGTGCCGGTGGAGCTGGTCCAGCGGGGGGACATTGTGAAAGTGGCCCCTGGAGGAAAGTTCCCCGTTGATGGGAAAGTGATCGAGGGAAGTTCCATGGCAGATGAGTCCCTGATCACAGGTACGGGTGGTAGATTTATGTTCTGATGGTGGAGGAATGTGTTTACAAATCGCTGCATGTGTGTAGCTTTTAGGAATGGATGCAAGCCTTAATTATCAAGTTTATTATTTAGTTTTATTATAAACTCGTAAAAGCAATGCTTTCAACTTGTCAAAGTGTTGGTTTCAGCTTCCTGGTGGTTACTGATGTCAAACAAATGCAGGATTACTTTAGTTGTTGTTATTGTTTGTTTGTGTGTGTTTTTTGTAAATGAAAAAAAACATTTGTACATACAATCAGTACATACCACTGTCTCATTTGTATGCATATATTTAGCTTTCCATTTCTAAATGACAAACACTGGTTATGCATTGTCGAAACGCAATAAAAAGATTTTTGATCTAAAACACATGCAGCAAACATTTTAGCAAGAATGAATAGCTTTTGGAGCTTTCTTTTCATGTATAAATACATATGTATAGCAATCCTGCTCCTTTTGTTTTAATGTACTGTAAAATCAATAATTGCATTTAAAAATGATTTGAATGGATGCATTAGCTGACCACATTTACCTCCAAAGCCATTAGGGACATAAAGTTGGATTCAAAAGAGATTTCATAATAAAGTAAAAAGTTCTGAATTTGTAATGAGGATGTTTGCCCCTTGTCTTTCTATCAGGGGAGCCGATGCCGGTCAGTAAGAAGGTGGGCAGTTTGGTGATCGCCGGCTCCATCAACGCTCACGGAGCTCTGCTGGTGGAGGCCACACACGTCGGAGCAGACACAACCCTGTCTCAAATCGTTAAACTGGTGGAAGAAGCCCAAACCTCAAAGGTTAGAGGCAACTATATTTCCAGATTGTCATCAATTCAACTACCAATGAAGTTATTCCAGCTTTTTTAAGTGATTTTTCTTTCAATTCAGCCAATTTTACAAAGGAAAACAAAACACTTGCTGCTTTAACTGCATATATCCTTCATATGACTCCCTAAAGAGCAACTTGCAGGTTAGAGACCCCTGTGAATAAATGTGTAGGAAAATGATACAGAAATATACACTACAGTGACATCTGGCGTCGTTTTTGTAAGACATTTTTACTTCCGCATAAAAAACTGACGGACATCCCGGGGCAAAGCAGAAGCCGAGAAGGGGGACTCGGGCGGACGGCCCGGGGGCAAAGCAGAGGCCGAGAAGGGGGACTCAGGCGGATGGCCCGGGGGCAAAGCAGAGGTCGAGAAGGGGGACTCGGGCGGACGGCCCGGGGACAAGGTAGAGGCCAAGAAGGGGGACTCGTGCGGACGGCCCGGGGGAACAGCAACAGAGCAGGGAATTCCGCGGCGGGGCCGAAGACAGGGGTGAAGGCCTCGTCGGGGTAAATTAGGGGGCCGGACTCGAGGGAGAAGGCAGCGGCTGGGAAAGTCAGGGAGCCGGGCTCGAGGGCGAAGGCCGCGGCTGGGGAACTCAGGGGGCCGGGCTCGAGGGCGAAGGCTGCGGATGGGGAACTCAGGGGGCCGGGCACAAGGACGGGCAGGAAGGCAGTGCCGGGACAGCTCCGGAGAACGGGCAGGAAGGCAGCGCCGGGACAGCTCCGGAGGACGTGCAGGAAGAGTCCTTAGGCCGCGATGGGGCCCCTCCGGGGTCAGCTGGATCGCTGGAGCAGGAGCACAGGAATCAGGAGCACTGGGAGCTGGGGATGGCGGGACAGGAACCGGTGTTGGCCGGACAGGAACCGGTGTCGGCCGTACAGGAACAGGAGCCGTCGGGACGGGTGCAGACGGAACCCACGATGGGACAGGCACAGACGGGACCTTGGACAGAACATGGGTTGGTGTCGACTGGACCCCAGACGGAACAAGGGCTGGTGTCGACGGGACCGCCGTCGGAACAGGACACGGTGTCGGCGGAATAGGCGTCAGCAGGACCCCCAACAGAACTGGACATGGTGTAGGCGGGACCCCCAGCGGGTCAGGATCTGGTGGCAGCGGGACCTCTGACTAAACAGGATTCGGAGCTGGCTGGACCTCCGACGGAGCAGGTTTTGGCGGGACCCCGGGCAGGACAGGTGTCGGCGGGACCCCCAACAGGTCAGGGCACGGAGTTGTCATGACTCCCAGCGGAACCCCCAACGAAATAGGAAAAGGAGTTGGCAGGACAACCCGGCGAGACAGGTGACGGCGGGACCCTCAACGGAACAGGACACAGAGTTGGCAGGACCCCCTGCGGAACCCCCAACGGACCAGGAAATGGGGTTGGCAGGACCCCCGGCAGAACAGTAGTCGCAGGGACCCCCAACGAGACAGGACACGGGGTTGGCTGGACCCCCGGCAGGATATTAGTCGGCGGGACCCCCAAAGGGACAAGACAAGGGGTTGGCAGGACCCCCGGTAGAACAGTAGTCGGCGGGACCCCCAACGAGACAGGACATGGTGTTGGCAGGACCCCCAGCGAAACAGGTGTTGGCTGGAACCCCAACGGCACAGGACATGGAGTTGGAAGGACCCCCGACGAAACAGGTGACGGCTGGACCCCCAACGGCACAGGACATGGAGTTGGCAGGACCCCCAGCAGAACCCCCAACGGAACAAAGCATGGAGTTGGGACTTGAGAAGGGACTTGAGAGGGGGCTTGAGAAGAGACTAGAGAGGGGATTAGATAAAGGACTTGGAAAGGGACTTGAGTAAGGACTTGAGAAGGGACTAGAGAAGAGAGAAGAGAAGGGAGAAGAGACTAGAGAAGAGACTAGAGTAGGGACTAGAGTAGGGACTTGGAAAGGGACTAAAGGAGGGACTAGAGGAGGGACTTGAGTAGGGACTAGAGATGGGACTTGTGATGGGACTAGAGAGGGGACTTGAGAAGAGACTTGAGAAGGGACTAGAGGAGGGACTTGAGGAGGGTCTAGAGGAGGGACTTGAGTAGGGACTAGAGATGGGACTTGTGATGGGACTAGAGAGGGGACTTGAGAAGGGACTTGAGAAGCGACTAGAGCAGGGACTTCAGAAGGGACTTGAGAAGGGACTTGAGGAGGGACTAGAGGAGGGACCAAGGCTGCTGGGGCCGGAACCAGGGCCTGAACCATGGCTTCTGGGGCTGGGACCATTGCTGCTGGGGCCGGTACTGGAGCCGGAACCATGGCTTCTGGGACTGGGACCATGGCTGCTGGGGCTGGGACCATGGCTGCTGGGGCCGGAACCAGGGCCTGAACCATAGCTGCTGGGGCCGGTACTGGAGCCGGAACCATGGCTGCAGGGGCCGGTACTGAAATCCTGGCCTTGCGTTTCCTTTCATGCTGGCTTGAAGCCTTGCGGAAGCTCAGAGGTCCTCCAAAGGCCAGACGAGACCCAGCGAAAGGGTCCACGAAAGGAGCCTTGTTGGGAACTGTGACAGGCAGGGGGCTAGCATGCCTGGGGCTAGCAGGCCAGGAAACAGGTTTGACCTCAAAGCTACCAATAAGGTCCTCCACCCACTCTGGTAGTAACTCCCTTAACCAGGGCCTTGAGGTTATTCTTGGCGTGCCGTAGAGATGATAGACTGCCTTTCCTCTCTACTGGAGGCATATCGACAGTCATTTTTTAAGCACCTTAAATTGTACATCACCTCTGCTGGGTCCATGTTTGGTTAGAGTGAAGTGAGTAAAGCAGGCAGGACCCAAATGCAGATTTAACAGAAAATTCCTTTATTTCAAGGCTACAAGATACAGAGCTGAACTCTCTCCCCCCGTGAACACAGTCAACCACAAGAAAAACCAGAACTTAAATGCACACAAGACTAATCACACAAACAAGACACAGGTGAGGAGGGAGGAGAAAACACAGGGGCACAAGGTGACACAATCGGGTAATCAGACAGAAGGGAACACAGAGACAGTCGTCGACGGCCGTTATTCAATGTCGTCGGCCCCAGAGTCTCTGCTAGGCGGCGTGCCTCTACCAGGGAAGGTGTCGCTGCGTGTAGGGGCCAGCGCCTCAGGGGTAAATCGCAGGGCGGCCAGGAAGAACCGGTCAGCTTCTTCGGCTAAAGCGCGGGGCTCCACACTAGCCGTGTTAGCGAGCGCAGCCTGGACATGCAGCCGCATGTCCCGAAGAAACAGCTCCATGAAAAAGAAGTTGGGCTCTTCCGTACCTAGGAGGTCGTGTATCGTCTCCATGTGGTCGGAAGGCTTGCTGCCTCCGAGTGCCGAAACAACGCGGGAATGGCGAGCGACTTCCCTGGCCATTCCGCGGAAGGCGCACCGAGCCTCAGACTGTGTGCACGAGACAGCCACGGACGTCTCCAAAAAACTGCGTTTCTAGCCATGTTCGGTCCAGTCTCGGAAACTTCTGCGAGACTTACGTCAGGGTCACCAGTGTAGTGCCGAGAGAAGGGAGTCGGAGGCGGTGCATCGAAGGTGCAAAGTTTGTTTTATTGAGCAGCAGAAAACCACATGTTGCCGGCTTGAAGTCCAGGAAGAGAAGGGGAGAAGAGAAAGGAGGGCACACAGTAGGTACACAGGAGGTGCAGTCAACATGTGTGTCCGAGCGGAACAATACCCCCAACCTGTAGTTCCATGAGTGAATTATGATAAACAGTGGTCACTACAATATCCATTTTCTTAGTGTGTTAGCATGCTAATGGATAACTGTTGCTGGTTTATAGAGCATTGAATGGTTTAGGCCCAAAATACATCTGATCTTCTTCTAAATTATGAACCATCCAGATCTCTCAGGTCTTCTGGCACTGGTCTGCTTTCTGTCCCCAGAGTCAGAACTAAAATGGAGAAGCAGCTTTCAGTTATTATGCTCCAAACATCTGGAACAAACTCCCAGAAACCTGCAGGTCCGTTGCAACTCTGACTACTTTTAAATCCAGGCTGAAGACTCTTCTTGTTGCTGCTGCTTTTAATTGATATATTCATATCTTAAACTGCACTGTAACTTTTATTCATGTATTTGATACATTAGCTTANGGAAAACTCTCATGTCAGGGTTACTTGAGTGAGTGACATGCAGGCTCTGCATGCACAGCAACAACCACAATCAAATCTCCAAAGCAAACGGACCCCGTGATTAAAGGTAAAAACACTGAATAAAGTAGTTTCATGTGTTTCTCCAGGGCAGTTCGGCGCTGCTAACCGAGCTAGCTCAGCTTGTTGCTCTGATCCAGACGTCCATGACTAAAATCCTTAATCCGGTTAAATATAGTTAAAAAAATACCAATTGTATAGCATTAAAGTTCCAGAAAGGATGGTTTGCGGGGGAAAAAACAGTATTTTCTTCAATTCCTGTATGTTTTCATATCGCAATATATATCGCAGGGGGGGGAAAAAAATCGCAATGTCAGTTTTCTCCAATATCGTACAGCCCTAGCCTACATGTTGTGAAAATGATGTAATGCACTGTGTCTAATGCTACAATTATTTCTTATTATTGATGAATTTACTGATTGTTCTATCATCAATAATATTTAGCAAATGTCAAAAATAAATTGAAAATGTTTATCAAAACTTCCCAGTTTTTTTAAGGTAACACTGTCACTTTGTTGAGGAGTAAACCACTGCAAGCTAGGTGTTTCAGGCAACAGGGAGTGTGTGGGAGAGAAACTCCCTCTGGAGGAAACTTTGGGATTATAGCCTTTGCAGATCATTTCCATGTATACAAACCTATATAAAACACTACAGGAAAAGAAAAACTCCAAAAAGCCTAATAGGGCCCTTTTTAAAACAAATGCATTTAGATTTTGGGTTTCTGATCTGGTAGCAATGAATCTGACCATGCTCTGTGTGTTTGTGTTTCTGTGTGCGTCTCTGAGCAGAAGTTCATTGAGTTTGAGGACACTCATGAACAGGATAAGAAAGACCT